TTCAATAATAATGAAGATAAGATTCTCATTACTAAAAAATATTATTAGTAACAATATCAGATCTATAACTTAATTAAAATGTTATTTGATTGTCTTTATATATTTTTGTTCTATAAGTTTTTCATAAAAAAAAAAAAAAAAAATTCTCATAGTTTTAACAAACTTTCTATGGAAACATTGTTATCTAAATGATTTTATCCATTCATTCATTTGTTTGTTTCATAACCATTTTGTTCATTATGACATAGAACGATCTCGTTATCCTTTTTGAACTTTGAATAATACTCTTTATAAATATCATTCTTGATTCTTACTAGGATTTTATCGTCTGATAAGTTTCCAATTCGTTTATATGTTACATATAATAGTCGTCATTAAAGTCATTTATTTGTTCGGTTCTATGACTTCTTTAAGTTTTTTAGCTAACTTAATTAAATAATGTGACAACAGTTTCAAAAATCATCCATTGAAGAATCATTTTAAGTTGTTTTAAAATGATAAAAAAAAAAACATTTGATTGTACACATTTATCTCAATCTTCAAAAAATTAAACATCCTTCAAATATAATCATCTCAATGAAATATATTTTAAATGAGCAAAGATATTCGAATCAGACACACTGATTTAGTTACATAAAATAAAATCAGTTATTTAATCTTCAATGCTTTTTTTTTTACATCTGTTAATCTTCTCAGCTCAAATTAATCTTAACTTTTTAACAAAATTGTATATTATTTTATTCAATATATTTAGATCCGATTAAAAAAATATATAAAATAATTATAATTTAAACGTTTAATCAATGAATTTTGTCTATAAAAATAAATTCTTTCTTATACTCTTAGATCGTACGTCTATAAGAAGAAAATAAGATTAACGTATTTATCTTTCTGGCTCTTATTCAAATAGTCTCACAATTGTAAAATAATACACATTCTAGACAAAATATATTAATACATTTTTTTTTTTTTGCTCTTAAAGGTAATAATAATGACAAATGCAAACAGTTCTTTTATCATAACGTGTTTTTCCTTCTTTTTTTCTTTATTCTAGTAGGAACATGTGTGTTCGAAAATGTTTTATTTAAAATATGTGAAAGAGAGAGAGAGAGAGAAAGAGAAAGAAAGAAACAACGTAATCAATAGTTAAACAAAGAATAATGCCATGTTTGCTCATCGGAAATACTCTAGTATGACTATGAATAACTAACTACTAGTTCCAGTTAAATAATTTTAACTCATTTTAGTAGTTTGTATCTAGAAAGATAAGCAGACAGATATTCATTTTATCAAAGTCTGTTGTCTGAAAAATGTATTATGATAAAAAAAAACAATATTGTTAATATTGCATAATAATAGACGTTCCAATAAGGAATGATCAGAGAGTACGTTCACACATCTCTATTCATTTTTTTTTAATACTATTGTCCCTACCGACAACACACCCGCATATTTATGTCTCCTTTATATTAGACTTAATGTAGGACTATACTAATAACTAACTACACACCCTTCTTCTTCTTTTTTTTTTTCTCATTCTTTTTCTCCTTTTTTTTTTTTCATATTTTACAACGACCGTCCATTTATCCTCTTTTTTCCCATTTCATATGAATGTCTTTTCTTTTGCGACTGACATCATTTTTCCTTTTTTCCTGTTTTTTTCTCATTTGTAAGTTTTCTTTTTGCTGAAGCTGTTGTCCCATCGTCTTTGTACACTATTTTCTCATTGCATGTTTATAGATGTTTTTTTACAACCATAATTGCACCGTAAGTTATTGTATACTTGCTGAGTTTTTTATCAATATAAAAAAAAATCTATCAGAAATTGTTTTGAACATAACTCTGGGAAAACTCTTAACAAATGTGTACACAAATATACACATGGACTCTATATATTTTCTTTCTTCATTTTATTATTGAATATATTTTATTTTATTTTATTATTATATAGAATATAGATCAAAGTTGACTCTATTTTTAAAACTAAAAATTTTCTGAAAATATTGACAAATAACTCTAAAATTCATAAAATATCAAAAGAAAAAAAAAAAAGCCAGACGTGATCAGTTCTATTATGTCGTTTTTTTCTCTTCTTTTTTTTTTTTCTTTTTCTTTTTTTAAATAGCTCATGCGTTTCATATTTCCCTTTTGTTCAAATGATCTGGATTATTCGTCGTCACATTTCTTTTTCTCTTCCCTGTCATGTTCAATTTACTATCTGGTATTGTTATAAATTGAAACTAGTGCGCATGTATGTACGTTATTATTGAGTAAAATAGACTACAAACTATAGTTGAAAACTTAGTTAGTTTTGAAGTTTTATATCATTATTATGTGTTTGGAATTAAAAGTCTCACATTCCTTTATATAACTAGATTTTAGCCATTATTTTTATCGAAAGAAAAACTCATTGTCTTTTTTTTCATCTCACAGTCACAAGTTTTATTAGCAATAAGATTTATTTACAGATAAGATTTTTTTGAAGATATCTTGAGACAGAGAATAGGATAGGTCTAGATCACTAAAGCTTTTATAATCTAGAGCGTAGAACACGACAACCAGCCACTCTGCATATTTCTAGTGAAGAGATATCATTGACTATCGACTGAAGTATTGAATAAAATCGAGCGACGTCTCATTTTGATGAGTAAGTCTACTCTAGAAGATTGTTATTTCAAGAAAACTTTTTATGTCATAAATGAATGTGTTTTTGTGGATTCTATTTCAAAAGAGATACTTTTTAATTAATATATATTATCGAAAACTTACACTCACTTTGAATATCATCTATGATGTTCTTTGATCTTACAAAGTCAGTTAGGATGGATTTGTATCTTTTTATACAATTTTTGTGAAAAACCGTGTATAAGGTTAAAGCAGAAGTGGCAGAACCGTAAGAGCAGTGAAAATGACACTCTTAAGATTTTAGAATGTAAAAAAAGTATGGGAACAGCGACAGTTTAGTACAAGCGTATATTCGATGATCTACAGAGAAATGAGGGTTTAATCTCGCTTCATTTCTAAACTACTCACATTCACTTTTGATGCTGATGTGTTACACAGTAGAAAAAAGTAGAAAATTCTATTCATAAATACCGGAAAACATATTTTGATACTTACCTTTACTGTTAATTTAATTTAAATTAATTCAAAATGCTCTTTCTCGAAAGAAAACAATTTATCTTCAGTTTTTCTAAAAGAACATTCGTCCGTACAACTTCTAACTCGTTCCACTGTTTCTGGGTTGGCGTATTTGCTACTATGTGATATATAAATTGGTCAAATTTTGTTCTTTTGCTCTTTAAAAAGTTTATGACGGACAGATAAGATGAATAATTCTCAATTTTTCTATTATATGTATTTTACACATTATTCTGACTATGAATAAACAATTGAAGGCGATTGATACAGAAGAAGTCTGTCAAATTTAATTAGCAATCAACTTTTTGCCACTAATGAATGTCTTAAAATTTCTGACGCGAAGGTCTCTAATCATTTCATATAAGATTAGTTGATTCTTAGAAGTTTTTAGAAGCTTTTTTCTACAATTTTAGTCCCCGTGAACAAAAAGTAATCGAACTCCTCGACCCTCTTCAACATACTGCAAAAGTTTCAAGCGCTAATTTACCGCTTGAAGATTGATCTAGATTTTGAGATTGATCTAGATTTTGAGATTGATCTAGATTTTCTAATTGGCACTCTCGGACTATATAGAATAAGTTTGTTCGAGGGCTTTTCATATCGATTCATGTGACTATTATTCTATTATTGTCTGGTTATCATCTTGTCAAAAAAAATCTCTCAGTACTTTGTTTATATCTATGCCACATAATATCGCTTGCAACTCCTTTTTATTGTAAAATTCGTCATTTCATTAAAAACTTCTTGAGTTATTTTTTTACATGCTATAAATAAAAAAAATATGAAGAAGAACTAGGAAGTTTCAACCTCAATTACTTTTAATCTAGCAAACAGTTTTTCCAGTTTTCGTTCTCTACATAAAAAGAGAAAAGTGAACTATTTTCTAGCTCATAAAAAAACTCTTTCAATTAGCTCAGTTTAAAATTCTTCGCAAAAGATTGAGAAAAAGTTTCTTTTATTCTATCGCTTTTGCTAAAAATCAGAATTTTCAAACTGTAGTTTGACGGCACTTAAGAATAGTTTTATAACTCGGCCAAAATCAGACTTTTGAATTGAATCGAGTTTATCATATATTTTCTTTTACATTCGAATAGAAGAAGTTCATTAGCTCCATTTCTTTTTCTATACCAAAGCAAAAAAGTCAAATTTTCCCTCTTCTTTTCTCGAATTTCAGTAAAAATTACCTTTAATATTAGAAAAAAAACGTTTAAAGTGAACCTTTGATACGTGAAAAAAGCACTTCAGTGCATCAAAACATACAGTTTAATTTGACGGCACTCTGTTCAAATAAATTTATTTCTCGTTGGTTTTTGCAGTTAGCAGATAATCGAGATTGAAAGATCACACTATTTCTTCCAAATTTTTTATTTTTTACACTCGTTAACAAAGTTAAGATGGTTCTTTCTCAGACTAGTCGAATGATATGCTCCATGTTAAGTAATTATTATGAAAAAATCTCCTATATTTTCAATGTGATGAATGAAATAAGTAACAGTTTTCTGCTGCTCTGATGTTTTAACAAATAAGTAAAGTCTGTTGGTTCTTTTCATACGAGATGAAATATATATATTTACAACTTCACAGATAAGTTAACTATTTTTGACATGTCGCGTTTATTTGATATTTATCCTTTCTTTTTGTACGTGTTTTAGATTAAAAAAAGAACAAAAATTAAAAATTAATGTCGTATAAAAAATTAAAAAAGGAACAGCATTGGTTTATTTCTATTTTTTAAAAAATAAAAAAACAAAACAAAATTATATGATTATATGGAAGACAGTGCAACTGGACCAATGAATGTCGGCGTAGTTGATGGTGGTATAGGAATTGTTAGTGGATACTATTCTCTAGAACAAAATATGAATAGTACCAATACTAATTCAACAAATATTAATTTTCGAAAACAAATACAAACTTTACGTTATAAATTATTATTAGATGGTATTGTTCAAGTTTGTCGTGTACCACATGCAAAAAATATTATTGAAAAAATACGTTTTTCAAGATTTTTAAGACGATGGGAAGAACATCATATTGTTTTATCACAAAGTGAAACATATTCTAAAACGGTAATGTAACAAAAAGAAATTTTTATTTTATTTTAAAAGATTTTAACTTTTTTTTTTCATCTTCTTTCTGTAGCCTGAAAATTATATGGACCGTCCAATATTATATTCAGCTATTGAAGATGTTAGTGTATGGTCTAAAACCAAAATGATCGATTCTGATTGCAGATTTTGTATTCGAATTGTTACAAATGAATGTATTTATTTTTTTCAAGTATGTTTATGACCATGAATTAGTTAGAATAGATAGATATATCTGTTATATATGTTGTTTTAGGTTAATAATTTATATCTTCGAGATCAATGGTACTATTCTATACAATGGAAGGTCAGTAGTATACGAATAATCAAGAAGAAGTTAATTTTCAATTATTATATCATTGTAGAGAAATAAACTAAAATTTGAAAAAATACTTCGTTCAGCGAACCGTCCAGAAATTTTAATGAAAGAAATGAAAGTAAGTACAAATAAATATGTTTTTTAAAAAAACAAAAATTTTTTATTTTTATCTTTTTATATAGAGTATGATTGATTTTGCTATGAATTCCCCGGTAAATAATTTGACATAATTATGCTATATTTTGAATTTTTATCATTCTTTTATTTTTATAGATTGAAGATTCCGAAGTCTATCAGTTTCCTCTAGAAATTGTATCTGAAATTCTTCAGCAGGTTTGTATGACAACATCTACATTGATTTGTTATTATGATGTATTTCTTCTTATATCTAGCAAGAATGTAATTTACCTCGTTTTGTTCACGAAAATGTTATTGTTTCACTTGCACCATTATTAGAAAAAAATTATCCATCGCCAGAAATATGTGATTTTTTTAGTAAAGTAAGAAAATAATTATGTAGTTGTAAACATTTATTCTTATTCATTTTTTGGTCTTTTTTAGCATTGCAGAGATAGTCCACGTTCTCAAATTGTTATCGAAATGTTTACACCTGTTGTTCAACGAATATTAAAACATAATACAGTATGTAGATCGATAATGATTAGTGGAAGAAATATTTCTACTACAAAAGAAAAAGTTTTTAGTAATATAATCATTACTATTGTTTATTTTAGGATTTTGGAAAATATCCACGAATGCGAATATTTATACAAGATTATTTATTAGCATTAAATTCTCAAAATGATGGTTTAAAAGTAGTTCAAGACTTTATTAGAAGGTATTTTTTTTGAATTTATTCTCATTCTTATTTTTATATTTTCTTTTTTTGATTTTAGTATGCATGGTCCAACGATGACTTGTCCATTTCCACGTGTGTTATCAAATTTTGTATCCGTTTGTTTGGCAGCGATTTATAATTTTTTCGAAGATCGAAAGAAGTGTGTACTCACTAATATAAAAATCATATTGTCAAAGATTTTTTTCATCAATTTTTTTTTTTTTTTTTGTCTTTCAGTTACAAATTTGTAGATAAAGAAAGTTGTCACGCATACGAAGAAGAAACAGAGAGTCAACTAATTTGTTATACAAAAATGCTTCAAACAATGTAAGAATTAAATTAATATTAAAAAATGGTTCGTTTTTTAAATTTTTTTCTTTTTACCGATGGACAGGTCTTCATCAGACGATTGGCGTCCACATTTAGGACTTTTACTTCAGTCCGTTCCATTTCCTGATGAAGCATTGACACATGACAAGTTTATCGAGTAAGTTCATTAGAAGAATCTTTGTATTCTAAAGATAGTCAGAAATGAAGCTATAGAGAGAGAATTGAAGATTACAATGTTCTTCCTACTTTTTAAAATTTCTTTTTTAAAATTTTTTTATAACAATAATAATCGTACAGTCAACAATGAAAATTTGACATCCTTCTTCTTGCTTTTACAATCGAAAACTATCTATTTTCTTATGTATTTTTAGAATATTCAAAAATGTTGTTAAAAATCTAGTCGATGATACAAGATGCGAAGTGCATCAAACTGTTTTGGGAATTCGTGAAGGAAAAGAAGGTATATATTTTTTTCATGATGTATAGGATAAAAAAATGGGATCTACGTTTTTCTTGCAGGTTGGTTTGAAATGTTTTGTCTGGGTGGAATTGCATGCGATGACGATGGTGAAATGTTTTCTTTTATGGTACGTACATTAACTTTATATTTTTCTCCAAATTTTACCTGTTTCGTGTTTTTTTATTTTAGCTCAGTAAACTCATCTCATGTTGTTGTCGGAAAAAACGTTTTTTACTTAGCGTTAATAAATTACTACCTCCATTAATGTTATTAGCATTAAGAGAAAATCAAAGTTCATTAGAAGTAATTATCAATTATTCATTTTATATTTCTTCATCAAGTTCTTTTTTTAGACATTGTGTGCCATGCTCGATTTAGATGCTATTGAAAATCGCGATAATAAATTACAACTTATATCTACATTACAAAGTACACAAACGGGCTTAAAAATGTATGCAAAAGTATGTGAACGACAAATTGCCTTACGTGAATTACAACAAAAAGGTGGACCACGAAAATTAACATTACCATCACGTTCAACTGATAATGATTTAGCTAAATTATTAAGTAGTGGTTCATTCGGTAATTTAGAATGTTTAAGTTTAGCATTTACAAATGTAACGAGTGCATGTGCTGAACATTTAATTAAATTACCATCATTAAGATATTTAAATTTATGGTCAACACAGGTAAAAAATGAGTTCAAGTATAGAGAATATCATTAAATTAGAATCTATTTCGTTTATAGTTTGGCGATTCGGGACTTGAATTAATATCTGAACATCTCAATCGACTTCAAGTGTTAAACTTATGTGAAACACCAGTAACGGATAAAGGACTGGCTTATCTCGCTTGTAAATAAAGATTTTATCAAATATTTCAATTTTTTCTTTACAAAATGTGTTTTCGTTATTCTAGCTATGAAACAATTGAGAAAATTAAATTTAAATTCAACTCATTTATCACCCCTTACATTTGAAGCATTGAAAGTAAGTTTACAAATGTGTTTCACTAAGATTCTTAGCTTAAGATAAATCGAAGTGTTGAATTAAATTCTATCTTATAGCTTTTTAATCAAGCGTCTAAAAAGCGTCTATTTTTTACTTTTGTTAATTTTAACAAGAAAATATACTTAAAATAAGTTACAGAGGAACTCATTAAGTTTTATTCATAAAATTTTTAATTTTATATTACGCATTTCTCACGCTAATAAATTTCTCTTATTTTAGTTACATTTAAGTTTAATTTCAGGATATTGTGCCAAGCCCCTTCTGCCTTTTTATTGCTATAATTTATGTTTTTGCCTGTTTAGGAGAAATTACCAGCACTACAAGAATGTGATATTCGTTACACAGATGCTTGGTAATTCACTTCAAAATAACGTTTGTATGTTCTATTATTAATGAACTTACACTAACGCTCACATCTATACGTTTTGTATGCCGTTGCTTCTTGAGATTGCAATTTTTAAATTAAAACAAACAATAATTAAGTCAGATTGATGTCTTATTTTTTTTTTCCGTGTGTGAATACCATCGTTTTTTGTTTTTTGCTTTTTGTTAATTATTTTTTGTTCAAGTCACTGAACAACTTTTTTGTTTGTTAAGACTGACTAACTTTTTGTTTTTGTGCTTTTTCTCTATCCACTTTGTGCATAAATCTACAGTATTGTTTTGTTTGTGATCACAGAAACAACAGAAGTTTTTTGTAAATATTCTTATTTTATTTTTTATTCCATTTTAAGCCTTAATAAATAAAACAAAGATTTTTTTTGTAGTTATTTGTTTTTTTCTATAATTTTTTTTAATCTCACCATATTTCATCGATTCTCAACAGTAACATTTTTTGTTATTTGCTGATTTCAAAAATCTGACAGTTTTAGTAGGAACATTGTAATGATTCACTTTTATTATCACTTTTTGTATCTATCTGTATAAGTTGAAAGCAGAAAAAGGTAGTTCAAGAAAATAAATCTTTTGCTACATATCCTTAATTTAGAAATATGATCTGAAAATTATTAGTTTTGCACGTTTTCGTTATGATACAGTTGTATTAGAAATTCGTTTTTATACAATTTTAAATTTTTTTATATTTGACAACGCATGTGCAACAAAAACGCAATCGATAGTTTTTCTTTTTATTGCCTTAAAGCAGACGTTAGTGCCAGTTAACATAGACGATCTTTACTTTTTTTTTTTAGCGTTCATTGTCTCGTGTTCTCCTTATTTTTATCGCATAATCTATTGTTTTCTCTCTTGTACACTTTGCATGATCATTTTTATCGCGCAATAAAACACACACAAAGGTTTTCTTGTCTGTCTTTGTCAAACTTTGAAATTAAATATGCGTTAATAAATTATTCGATTTATTTTCTCTTCTTTTTTTTTTGTGTTTTATTAAATGTGTATGCTGCTTAATGTGTTTTTTATTTATTTCATACGTGAAATAAATCTAACATGAAGTATTTTTTATGATTATTTTAAACTGAAAGTCGATTCGTAGATGATCAGCGCAGTTCAGCTGTCGGATTTTAAATGGAGTTTTCGTTGCTTTTCATCTTTAGACTAATCGGTGTTTTTATCGATTCATAAACATTTGGAAAAGTGAACGATGCTTTTTGCATTATGAGTTTAATAGGCGGATTACTTGAGACCAAAGGATCATGTGTTGTTCGTCTTCTTCTGGATGTTATGGTTAAATGAAGAATTTTGAAGAGCTTTACACTTACTAAGCAGAATTCATATCTATTAGATGATGAATGATTTTAATCATTATAATATTTTATTTAGCAGTAATTCAATCTATTATCAGATATATCTTGAATTGTGTGTTAGCTCACTTGATGGTAAATACAATTTATTATGAGCATTTTCCACAGTTTCACCCAGTTCATACAGACATATGAGCCGCAAAAATTTCAATGTTCCTATCGTGGAGCGCATAGAAAATTATATAAAAGTCCCCAACTTCTGCATGTAAAAGTCATACTACACATGCCTTTTCAAGGACGTTTTGATCTCTTTTCTAATGAAGCAAATTATGTAAGTAAAAATGGATATTATTTTGCATAATGAATGACATTTTTTTCAATTCCATATGGTACAATTGAGCATGCTAATTTATGAACGGTTATAAAATTGCGTTCATTACGAATATCATTTATAGTTAACAACTGTTTACTACTATAATAAAATTCGATCAGTGAAATATGTTTATGTGTATTCATTTGTGTTATTGTATTTAATAAAAGCATATTTCTCGATAGAAGGAAGAAACAGAGATCGAAAGAGAAGAACAGAAGAATCATGAATGTTTCATCCTTAATAAAAAAAATTCAATTAGATCATGCAACATGCATCAATTAATCAGTTCAGTCATTTTCATTTACATGAATTATTACTCATTCAGAAAGATAATGTATAAGGATCACTCTGACAATTACACCCACATACTGCCCATACAAAAATGACTCATTTATTATTAATATTATATTATTATTAATGACTTTTTTAGGTCGTTTATCTAGATTCAGTTCCACCTACATCTGGATGCATGTCCACCTGAATCTAGATAAATGACCACAAAAACTCGCTCACTTTTGCATGGATGTGACGAGAAATTATTATCATTGATAAAACTTCAAATATCAATAAGAAAAACTATAATGCGATCTTTTTTAAAATCGTCTGTATACTCATCTCTTCAGATTTCTGTGTTTTTATCATAATAATCTGACAAAGATCAAAATATCTTTGAAATCTACTATTGTTGTTTACTCTATTATTTTTGCTAATAAAACTATTTTTCATACATGTCGTCAAAATCGGGAAGAAAGGCTGATTAAACGCAATTAATCAGCCGATTAATCGCCATTTTTTAAGTAAAAATCTTTTGCTGATTCATCATCAGGGCCACACATAGGAGCAGAACATTAGGGGAGATGTAAAACAAAATTTCTCTTTGGGGTAGTGTGAAATTGATAAAAAAGATTTTGTGCGAGGAATAATGAATAATATAACAACAGCTTTTTCAATTATTCGGGGGCTGCGTACCCTTCCATTATTTGTGCCTCTGTTCATCAATTGTGAGAAAAAGTCGTCGATAAATTTCGATTCAGCGCGATTTTTGCTGAAATCGTGTATTTCTTAGAAAAATTGACGATTACTTGCGATTTTTGCTTAAAATTCGCGGTTATGCGCACGATTAATCGACTGATTAATTGCGCTTAATCAGCCATTTCTTGCCGATTTTGACGGCATCGATACACTGTATGGAAATCGTCAAAATTGTATTATACAGTTTTTCTACTTTGACTTATCTAAGTATTTATCTTTGGTTTAGAATGAGTGTGTGAAATACATGTCTCGCAACAGAAAATTTATCTCAAAAGTTTCTTTACTCAGGGAACGTAGCGACACTCTGTTAGCTCTTCACTGGCATTGGTGGGGCGACAAGTCAGTTCTTGTTTGATGATTGGACATCCTAGGCGTAACTTGAGTACCAGCAATATAATATAATAGATAAAATTTAATACTATTTTTCTTCAATACAGAAACAGTAGTTGTTTCATCAATATTCTAAGTTTATGAACTCAAGTCAACTCTCATATTAGTCTCTTTTTGTTTCGTGCTATAACATTGACTCAAGCAACTTGGGAGCCATCTTAAGTCAATGCTTAACTTAATTATGTTCCTTGAAGTTGAGACAAGTTGAAGTCAAAACGAAGGTTTGAGATTTTTGATGAAACTGTTCTCAGCATTATTTGCTCTGTGATATATCTTTCCATATGCGTTCAACGCCATTTACATAGGACTATGAAGAGCGTCGCCTTGCTTTTTAAATTATTTTTCGAATTTTTACTGCGACATGGAATTCAAGTTGTTGCTTTTGACTGCATCTACTTTAAACTCCAGAGTAAAGTATGGGTTATTTAATACGAATTTAAAAGCTAATAGCCCGTACTTTACTTCGACTTTTGAGAAAAAATAGAGTTTATCCCGAAATTTGTATTCGCTTCTCATTTCGAAACACTACTATTTATTAGTCTTGTCGCTTCTTCTACTTTCTCAAAGCTAGTTTTGTTTTAGAAATCATATGGTTTGCAAAAACTGATCTTTTAAAATCTAAAAGCACTAACTTTTTTGTTACAGAACAACTTCTGGAGTTTCGTTATAATCTTGTCATTACTTTGACAGTGTTTCGTTTATCACGATGTGTTCACTCCTGTTCTACATTAGCTGAACTCAAACCATGTATTACAACCAAAGAAACGATTAGATGCTATGGAACACCAAGAATTTGGCGGTAATTGTTGTTTCCCTTAACCGATATCAAGTCTAATTTGTCAAAATTATGTAACTAAGACGAATTTTTCGTCTGTTTATTGTGTGTGTAAAACTACTTAAAAGTTTTATATAATGAACAGTCTATAATTATTGTATTTTCTTTTTGCTTTAGACATTACTCGATTGGCCGATAAAAAAGCTCAACATTTAATTCAATTTGCATTGCATCGATTAAGTCTACCGACTACATCAAATCATGCATCAACAAATATTCGTCCTATAACAACAACAAATTCATTGTTACCAATGAATGCCAATGGAACAATTTCATTACGTTATCGATCTTCAAGTAGTAGTACACATGATAAAAAATCAGTTCTGAATAACAATAGTCCAACTCGTTATAGTATACCAGCAACAAAGAGTGATTTTGTTAAATTTCAATCTCGATTTCTAGCAAATGCAATTTACACAACGAACAATCATTCGATCATGAATAATAGTAAAAATAATCTAGTGCAATATTCATACAGTTTAAATAAACCCTGGCTACCAAAACTCGACAGAAATCGACACCTCTTACTTAGTATACAAAATTTTGTTAGTGAATTAATTGATCAATGTATGAGAGCAGCATTTGTACAGGTAATTTGATGTTTAATATCCTTTCTAGAAAAGTACGTTGTACTTCAGAGATATAGTCATCTAAGATATTTATACCTATTTAGATTGATTACATTCATTTATCTGAGACATCTTCGATGAACACAAATGATGTTGAAGAGAATTTAGCATCATCTATTTTGCTATTCGATTGTTATCCACCCTTTATATCTGCTGAACGGTTGAATACGATACAGTCATTTGCTGATCAACTATTATCTTCGTGCTTTCAACAATCATACGATAGTATGGAACAATATTCCTCTCCACATCACAAAGATAAACTCCTTCGTACATTGTCAAATAGAGTTGTCGAAAACGTTTTAAATGAAGCAATTGAAAGTATAAAATATGAAAATAAATTCAGAAAAAAAAGAAATAATCGAATGGATAACGAGAAATGTTCAGCATCACTAATGACAGATGATGAAAAAATTGTTCGAGAAGCAAAAAAAGTAACGTTGTCATCTGATGAAGAGGATAACGATGACGAAATGACAAAAAGGAAGAGTTTATTTGTTAAACAAATTCGACATCGTTCATCGAGTGCATTCAAAGCATTAAAGACGAAAAAAGAAATAAAAACAAATAATGAGAATGATGAACAATATCAATCAACATTGAATCTTGTCACAGCAGTCACAAAACAGATTTATGACGATACTTTTAACGAATTAAAAAGGTAATGTATAGACATCCCATCTCTTTAATTGCCGTCATAATTTTCATCTTTTGTTTCAGAATATACATGGAAGAAAATGAAACAGTGTAGTCAATGTATTTTTGCTCAATTCTTACTTATTTTATTTATTTTTTCGATATTATGCATGTTTTCTATTAATGTGTTTTTTTTCGTGTATCAAGTGATACGAATTACAATGTTAATAAATCTCCTGACCAGATGCGATATGTCTTTACATTCGTATGTATTAATGATACATTTTTCTGGTTAATATTAGATGTCAACACAAATGCAATAATTTTCGAATAACTAGAGTAGTCTAATGATTAAAATCAGTTTGAATTGTATCTTTTGTTACTCAAATTCCCTTTCGTTACATTCTCTATTTTAGATGCGAGCCATCTTTTTTTCTACAACTTTTCGTACACGTTTGATTCTACAACAATGTTTAATTTCAAAACGGTTAAATTCCATATATTCTCCATCTTATGGTCCCGGTAATTTTTATCATCTTGATCATGTTGATTTAAATGAGTCAGTAAGCTAACGTTTGAATGTGCTATTTTATTGACAGTGTCAATTCTCTCCTATTGTTATATTTTAGAAATTTGACAAAATTCTTATTGCTAATCGAGGCGAAATTGCATGTCGTGTAATACGTACTTGTCAAGCGATGGGGATAAAAACAGTTGCTGTTCATAGTGATATAGACCATAATTCGGTAATTTGTAACAAAAATATCAAAAAAGTCTTCATTGTATCCTGTTTTTCAATAGCTGTTTGTAAAAATGGCCGATGAAGCAATCTGTATTGGACCAGCACCAACAAAATTAAGTTATTTGAATGAAGATGCCATTTTAAATGCAGTAAAATCAAGTGGAGCACAAGCAGTATGTCCTCTCATCAACATGATTAGAAGTGAATGCATAATAAACTTTTGTTGTTATTGTAGGTTCATCCAGGATATGGATTTTTATCAGAGAATACAAAATTTGCAAAAAAATTGGTTTGTATTTTGATTTTGGTTGCCAGTATCTTTTTTTTAATTGTTAGGCATGTTTAGTCTGATCATAATGTTGAATTTATTGGACCATCGAGTGAATCCATATTGGCTATGGGTGATAAAATTGAAAGTAAACGAATAGCTAAAAAAGCAAATATTAGTATGATACCGGGCTTTGATGGTGAAGTGAATGATGTCGAACATTGTGTGCAAATTAGCAGAGATATCGGTAAAATAATTCTTTATTATTATAAAATATTTTCATAAAAAAAGTTCATCTTAGGTTATCCTGTTATGATCAAAGCGTCTGCAGGTGGTGGAGGCAAAGGGATGCGTGTAGCGTGGAATGACGAAGAGGCACGTGAAAACTTTAAATTATGTAAGGGTGAAGCTGCATCAAGTTTCGGCGATGATCGCTTATTAGTTGAAAAATTCATCGATAATCCTCGTCATATTGAATTCCAGGTAGGCTTCGACCACTGTATTCGCCATATAATTAGTTAATTGTGTGTTTCTCATCCTTAGATATTGGGTGATAAACAAGGAAATGTTTTTTATTTGAATGAACGTGAATGTTCTATACAAAGACGAAATCAAAAAGTCATTGAAGAAGCACCAAGGTAATTCAATAGAAGTGTTGATTTTTCTTTAGTTTTGCAAAATAGTTCGTTTTATTTCAACTCTTCAATCTTTTCTTTTGTCGAATGATTTTTTTTCTTCTATTTTATATAGTGTATTTTTGGATGATATTACACGGCGAAAAATGGGTGAAGAAGCTGTTCAACTTGCTAAAGCTGTAGGCTATTATTCTGCCGGTATGTGTATTTGTATTCACATATCTTGATGTTTACAATTCTTTTCTCCTCTGATATTATTTAGGCACAGTAGAATTTATGGTTGATTCTCAAAAAAATTTTTATTTTTTGGAAATGAATACACGATTACAAGTAAGATAAAAAATGTACGCTGAATCAAAGAAATGTGGACATATGCTTGCTCTATTGTATTTAAGGATGTTCGGTCGGTTCCGGAACCAAGAATCGCGGTTCTGCTTCCTTCCGAACTTAGAACAGAACCGCGGTTCTCGGTTCTCAGCTTAGGATCAGAAAATAATTTTTCCAACAGTAATAATTCAACGAAATAGAATTCATTTTATAGTAAACGAAAGGATTCTTTTACGTGATGCCAGGCAAATATATCGTTTTGTAGCTTTGTAAATAGTGTGTTTTCATTTTGTTAAAACAAAGGCAAGTCAAAAAGTCTCAGTTCCGAAAAAAAAGAAACCGCGATGCCGGTTCCGATTCTTGATGAAGCACCGAAAATAAGAGAACCGCGGTTCCTGTTCTTAGTGAGAACGGAGAATCAAACATCCCTAATTATGTTTTACTTTCATTTAAGGTCGAACATCCAATTACGGAAGCAACAATTGGTATCGACTTGGTTCATCAAATGATTCGTGTAGCAAAAGGTAGATTTTTGCATGTGTTTGGTGCCTAACTTGCTAAAAAATAGTTGACATTTTTTTTCTAGGACATTCGTTACGTTTCAAACAAGAAGATATCAAATTTCATGGTTGGGCGATTGAATGTCGCGTTTATGCTGAAGATCCTTATAAAGCATTTGGCTTACCATCAATTGGTCGTCTGACATCCTATAAAGATCCCAGCTTTATCCCAAATGTAAGAAATTTGTTTGTATTTCTTTCAATGCTTATTCTTTAAGTTTTTCCTCATTTTAAGGTACGTTGTGATAGTGGTATAACGGAAGGAAGTGAAATAAGTCTTTATTACGATCCATTGATATGTAAGGTATAAAAGAACAAAATCTGTCTTCTTGTTTCACTGTGAATAATGGTATATATTATTTTCAAGCTTACAACGTTTGGAAAAAATCGAAGTGAAGCTTTAACAACAATGGCACAAGCTCTTGATGCATATGTGATACGAGGTAAGCTGTAAATAAAATTGAAAAAGAGAACAATCGTATATGGTTGCGTTTTTTCAAAGGCGTAACAAACAATATTCCACTTCTAAGAGATATTATCACTGAAGAACGCTTCGTCAAGGGAGATATAACAACCAAATATTTGCCAGCTGTTTATCCTCAAGGATTTAAAGGTATATAAGTGTAACATCGACAACCATTTTAAGGATTAAACTGTGAATTTATTCTAGGTAAAATGTTAAATGATCAAGAACGTTTAAGTTTGACAGCCGTAGCAGCATGTGTAGCCGTTAAAAGTTCTATTCGCGATGGGTCGTTTAAAAATATGTTAAGGTAAGAAACCATGGGTAGTACACATATTTAATATGTTATGTTAAATTATTGACAAACTTACGTATCAGTTTTCTTTCCCTTCAGTTATTTTCATTTTTTAGACAAACGGTTCGTTCATTGCCAAAAACATATACATACGAAATTCTATTGAATAATAAAAAAGTCTTATGTCATGTGAAAGCTTCAGCGGAGAATAAACAATTCGAAGTTTGTTAAAGCTCTTTTCATAGTTTCTTATTTTCATATGCATAATTTATTAGGTTCAAATTGACGATAACATTCCCGTTTTTATCGATGATAATTTCAAATTAAGTGATCACGTTATTCATGCACATGTCAACAATGAAATCATTGCATTACAAGTAAGTCATGTAGATTTATTTGTTTATGATACTAGTTGTTATTTTTCTTTTCTTCTCTCAAGCTCTTCAAAATGGAATCAACTGGAAACGTAACATTAATATATCTAGGAACTAAGGTGTGCTCTTTTTGTTTAATGTTTTCGTGCTGTTGAGTAATTGTTTTTACAACATTGTTTTTAGTATGAGCTCAGAGTATTACCTGAAGCAGCAGCTAAATATATGTCGATAATGCCAGAAAAGAAAGCAATTGATTATGCATCTGTTCTAATATCACCGATGCCTGGCATTGTGAAATCTGTTAATGTTCAAGTTGGACAAAGTGTTTCAGATGGTCAAGAGGTTTGCATCGTGGAAGCAATGAAAATGCAAAATAAACTGACCGCCGGTCGGACAGGAAAGGTATATTACTTTGAAGTTCAACTAGTACCACATACTATACATCTTTTACTATAGAAAAGATTATTGACTAATTATATATCACTATTTTTCTAGGTAAAATTTGTTGGTATAAAAGAGGGTGACACTGTTGAAGATGGTAAAATTTTAATTGAACTAGAATGAAAGAATATTCAAACAGAACGAATGATTTCTTAGAACAGTTTTTTTATATTTTCCTAATTATTCACTAGGATATAATCTATTTTCATTTAACAGTGTATTTTTTCCGATGGCATATGTTTAATACTGTTAAATGTAGTTTGTTTATGCCAGTTTGTATTTAAAAAAGATCTGTGTTTATTGCATATCCATCTATATTTCTTGTTCAATTTTTTTATGATGATTTTATATGTTCTCACATTGTATTCCTCAATAAATTTATTGGGGAAATCATAGATCGTTGAACGATAGCTGTTAACATCATACGGCTTCATAAAATCATAAACTGTCAGTTACATATTACTATTGATAAAATAGTGATATGAAATAAATATAAGTTTTTTTAGAGCCATACACACTGAGCCATTTATTGAGAATATGTCATATTCTATCAAAAAGTAGCAGCCCATTTATCTGTGAAAATATGTTTCATTCGAATAAAGGTGAGTTAAATAATTTCTATATTAAAATTCATACACAATGAAAAGTAAGCTTCGGCTTGTAATATCGACATCAGAAGTTTTCACGGATAAATCTTTTTTCATAAATCTCTACTTCAGTCATCACAAAATCTTATAAATGAAAACTAGACATTTTTCAAAAAATCGCCCTAGGAACGGACGATATGCTATTGATTTTATGAAAAAATTAGGAGAATTGAAATATGTTGAAAAACCACCAAATTTTCAAAATGTAAGGGTGTATTTACGAGGAAACGTTCCCAACTGTCCGATCGCTTTCGAGCCGAAACCTAGTAGACTATAGGTAGTCGAAAATGCTGACTTCGAATATCAACGGGCTAATAGGCCTCCAGAGACCGATTTTCTGGAAAACTGGTTTTTCAGAAACTAAAAGATAACCAAAACTTTTCTTAATGAGGCAGCATTGTAGCCCGCACATTTTTAATTAAAATGAGACATCTCCCGGTTCTACACGACCTTTCTTTGCAAAGTTATAGAGTTTACAAGAAAAGCCCTAAATTACTTCTTATTTCTGTAGCGTTGAGCAGACAATGAACGTTTAGGGCTTTTCTTGTAAATTCTATTTATTTATATTATTTTTACTTTTTCTCTTCAACTATAATAAAAAAGAACAAATTTGAAAAAAAATTTTAACATCTGAAAGAATTTTCAGTCTGATGTAATGTATATAAAGGTTCCGTTAAAATTTCTAAAACTAGGGTCTATAGAAAAACCAAAATCTCAGAAAAACGCTTCCCCAAATTCCACCGAGAAAATTTTTACAAATAACTCTGTTATATAGAGCAAATATTTTTGAACAAAGTGAGAGGTCTCCGAGCTTCCTATGACATTTTTCATGAAACCGCACTCAATTTACGAAAGGCCCTGCCGGCTTATCTTTCATGTTTTCCGTTAATGCTGATTCCGATGGTATGGGACCCTTCGTAAATTGAGCGCGGTTTCAGGAAAAATGTCATAGGAAGCTCGGAGACCTCTCATTTTGTTCAAAAATATTTGCTCTATATAACAGAGTTATTTGTAAAAATTTTCTCGGTGGAATTTGGGGAAGCGTTTTTCTGAGATTTTGGTTTTTCCATAGACCCTAGTTTTAGAAATTTCAACGGAACCTTTATATACATTACATCAGACTGAAAATTCTTTCAGATGTTGAATTTTTTTTCAAATTTGTTCTTTTTTATTATAGTTGAAGAGAAAAAGTAAAAATAAAGGTGGACGAATAATTTTTCGATCCGCGTTAACTTAGAATACTTATAATGAAATTACTCGCAGAAAACCAGCAGGGACTGGCTTCATTACATGTACCAAGCACTTGGCTTCAAGTACATCCATTGGGGAAGGGTATCCGAATAAGTTTTGATCAAAACTGTGTCAAACTGACCAGCACATATGCACTATAATTTCAGAGTTGTTATGTCGGCAAACTTGTGTATTTATACTTATTTAGCTTTGTTTTTTCATAGATTTTACTTTTTTCCCTAAGTTTTAACTTCATTTATCCTTAAAATTATGGAATTTGTGATTTCGTCCGCATTGTTGGATATAGTTTTGGACTCATGAGTTTTTAAAAAAGTTTTATCTAAACCCATATGTTTTTTTTCGTCAAGAAAGGAAGAGAAACAGAGAACGCGTGTGTATCTATATATTTCCTGTCACAAATACGTTACGCATAGAAACGTCTTTGTTCTCTGTTAACTTATATAGCGAAAAGAGACTATAGACACGTCTTTTTTTTACAGCAATATAGGGACCGTTATTGTGTCTGTTTTCAATTGCTATTGATGTATTTGTTACTAAACAAGCTTATTTATCATCGTTAAGGTAAGTACACATCTACTTTTTGAATGTTGTGAGCGCGAAGAGGAAGAATTTCTTCGATTTTTTTGTTACAAAGATGAACTGTTGTTTTCCTCAAAAACTTTTTAAAACCAAAAAAGAAACCTTTCTTCCGCAATGCACAAAATCTGAGGTTCATTTTCCCAGATATAGACCCACATGCTGACACCCACATGAAACTAGATCTCAGAGTAAAGGGACGAACAAGTCAGTTCTGATTGACGAAGGATGTTAGCGGCAGATTCAGGACACATCAATCATAGGATGCTGGATTTTCTCGAGCACCGATCTGTCCTAAGCGCCAAATCTGCGGAAACGCGTTCGTTGAAAGTCTAGGTGTGAATGATACTTTTCAGCAATGTAAACGTTCCTTATTGACAGAGCTCAAACATCAACGTCTCTCCACTTCTGAGATCAAATAACAGTCACAAAATCGTCACATAGAAATATACGACAAGAGAACTTACTGAAAAATATCTGGAATGTCAGTTAAGTGCGGTTTATTTGATCATTACTTCAATTGGAATTTTTTGAATCTATTCATTTTTGGGAGATACAGAACTTGATTTAAAGCCCCAATCAAATAGATGAGGGTTGCCATCGTTCACCAATTTTTTTCAGAAAAAATCATGAGGAAGCCAGAAAATCTCCTACTTCTTTTCCTTCTAAGTGTAGTAACTCTCCAGATTCCAGTAAGTGATTTTGAGATATTATAAGAATAAAAGAATTCTTAATTTGTATGTTCATCTTATGCTATTCGGTAGTTGCCCCCTTAATTAACGAAAAAGGCGATTAATCCGTATGACTTGGGTATACCGCTCAATATTTTTTAAAGCCATTCGGCGTCTAGTACTTTGAAATAATAGATTTTCTCAGAGACAGTGGTGCAATACGTATGTTTTGTCGTGGAGTAATACTTGTTCTAATTCGTAGAATATAACAGAACTACACATTCACTGAGACAATACATTTGTAGAAGCAATATAATAATCATGAGTTTTTTGTTTTGCTCTGTTTAGACAAAATTATTTTTGTAAAAATGGTAAAACAAGAAGTCACTGCTTCTGTCACTGCTTTTCCATCACCTCTATTGTTTCAGTCTGCGCTGTGTCTTCCGACGCCATTTCCTGCTCCAGTTCAACAATATTCTGCTCCATGTTCAGGAGTTCAAACGTCAAGAAATGTATCGTTTACGGTCCATCATTGTCACTCTCCTCAACCATCATCAGATCATCTAATCCGTCCGCCTCTAGGACCGAATGATATCGATTTATCATCGCAAAACGGAAAATTTACATGGATTAAAATCAGAGAGAAACACACGCCAGTGTTATTCAGGTAAAAAAGTGTTACATTGCTATCTTTTCAAAGAACTGAGCTACTCTCTTCAGATCTGATGGTAAAAAATATGCTTCTATTCGAATATTGCTTCTCAATAACTTATTTTCATCGTATTTACCGTCGACCTTGTTATTACCACACATTCAAATTCTGTTGCAACCCATGACTTTCTACGAAGCTAAATTATTCAATTTAATTAACGTCAAACATAGTAAACAAGAATATGGTCAAGAATTATTTGAAGAAGCGAAAGATCAATTGATCGAAGTATTGAACATACCACGATTACATCACCTTCTCAAACATCCGAATGTACTCGTACTTAAAAACATTCGAAAAATAACTAAAAGAAGGTATGCTAAAGGAGAATGAGAGAAATTTACAGAATTTTTTATTGCCTCTTGCTTACCGAAAATTGTGGAATATCAAGCATATAAAATTAATTTTTTGTATCAGTTTTCACAGGGATGTTCTCAATATTTTCTGCTTTTTGTCTTTTAGCGGTGTCGTTCAAGCACCGCAAATTGTCTTTTCACAATCACCATCTTCAAGTGAAATTGGCTCACTAACGTCTTCATCATCATTTAGTTATTATCCTCTACAAAAATCGTTTGTTCATTGTTCTCAGCACGCTTATCTTCCAGTCACATTAGCATCTCAATTACAATCTGTTCAACGACATGCTGAAAACGAAAGACAACGAATACATCCGTTAACAACCACAGCAACAACAACAACAACAACACCAGGTGATAATTAATATTACTGTGCTATGTTAGACCGTCAAGAAGTTTCTAACCCTTCATCAATTTTTTTTCTTTAGTTTTACCGGTGACCAGCGTCATTTCACAGCTATTACCTTTACCATCACTGGTTCAGCCGTGTCCATCATTAACAAGGAATTTACTTCGTTCTGATGTCAATCTGCAAGTCGCTAATCTATGTAATGCCTTAAGACGCACTTAATGGTCACCTTGACTTAAATGATTTTTTGTTCTTAAAAGCTTATTAGTGAGACGCTGTTATTTTTTTTGTTAGAAAATCACTAGCCCTTGGAAAGTGGTAGCTCGGCTTGAACTTCATGCAGCTTGTGAAAGTATATTTTTAATTTTTGTTTTAGTACTAGATGGTTCGACACAACATTCTTCTTCGAATGAGACAATATCAACAGTTACACCGTTGTCGTCATCAGGATCACAAATAAATCCAGGTACAAAATTATTCGAATGAAAGTGGTGTTTTTTGCGAAAAACGACACATGAGAGAAAGATTTTAACGCGAGCAACGTTTGAGAAAAACAAAATATTGAATTGAGTTCAAGTTTTGTGAAATCATGTGAGATCATTTCATTGAGAAAACTTGAAATAACTTCGCGTATAAAACATAGGCATTTTATACATGATGTTCGGTTTTAACTTTACCTTTTTAGTCTCGAATAGATAATTATCGACATCATTACTTAAAAAGTACGACTATCAACATCAAAACTGCCGATATTTTTAAGCATATGTCTAAAGTAACGAATTGTTACAGAAGAAAAATTGTGCCGAAATATTAGAAAGTTACTTTTGCTACGTTTAGTTTTATTCTGACCGCAGTGCATTACAAGAAAATTATTGCTATTTGAGAGAAAATGAAAAGATACTTGTCTGAGTTTTCTAATCTGATAAATTGGTACTGTAATTTTTATACTTATAAAAAAAAGTATCGTAAAATTTTTTTAGTATTGTCAGCCAATTCACAAGTTATTTTATCTACATCAACAGTGCTCAATAATTATGATATAGTTGATATGAATGTTGATTTGTCGTCAAGGCAACGGTTAGAACATGAAAAGCGAGAGCCTGTACGATCTGATGGTAAGTTAAACAGATCCTCGGTTGAAGATGTTTCTCAATTTGCATACCAACATTCTTATCTCTTCTCAGTAACAGCATTTCCAACAGCGCTTGTCCAGAATATGTCGATAGTTCATCATAAAAACAAAGGTAGTCACCGACCGTCTTTTGGCATCCTACGCAAAAATACGAAACGACTGCAATCAAATAATACAAATAAATGTAAAAGTAATTCTTTGTTAGTGAAACATTCCATTCCATTCCATTTACCAACAGAGTAACTTGAGACACCTTTTAACTTGGAATGATTTGTAGGATTTCTCGTTTTAGACATCAACATTATAAAGGTAATTCAACCATTGATTGAAAATGAAGAAAATATAGCTCCAAACATTGTAGTATCAGAGAATAATAAAAAATATGTTCAAGGTACCAACTATTTCACCTAAATCACAGATAATTTATGATTTAATCACTTGATATTTTATTAGATTCAGCTAACGATGAAGAGAATATTCCTAATAAACTACAGTCACAGTCAATAGGTGAGAATGATAACTCAGTTATCGGTTGTTAAACAATTATCTGAAGGCTTAGAAGGACATGTAGGAGAATAGTTTTATTATTATCTATTTTCTTTAGAAGAGTCGATTCCAAATATAAATGATCCCGAAAGTGATTTAATTTCAAATACCGGTGAAGTACTAAACAATATAGAAAATACCATTTGCCCGGCAAATTCAACAAATCATACATCAGGCACCAATAAACTGATGATATTCTTAATAATGTTGTTCTAGAAATTCAATTTGTTTTAGGTATAACGATTATACACCCTCTATCATCTCATAATAATATAGAGCTACAAGCGGTCACACGATCAGAAAACGCATTAACAATTGACGGTATTTTAATACAGCGATTGTTATACATTTCTTAAAATTGAGGTACTTCTGATAATACATAGATCGTACAACAGATAAAATCGAAAGTTCTGTTGATCGTAGAAAAATTTATTCGGAACGTCGACACAATGATAATGAATATCAGAAGGAACAACAAGCAATAAAAAGTAAAGAGAAATATAACACTAAATTTTGAGTTATAATTTGGCTTCTGTTTTTCTTAGATGATGATAGAAGTTGTGATGCACAGTCAAATATGGTGCAAAATAAAGGTAAAGCGTTATTCTTAGAAATGAATAATGGCAATATATATTGTCGCAAAATTTATAGTTTAATTATTCAGACAATATACAGTAGACATGCCCCAGTTTCAATCTCAGGCTTGGAGGATTGGTACCAATCCCCCTCATCTCCAGTTAGGCTTGGTACCGGTCGGACTGGTCGACCAGTTAGGCTTGGTCGAATGTAGTAGGCAAAAGCGTCACTGTACAACCGTAGATGTGACCGTCATTGCACCATACGCTTAGAGTAATTTTTTCGTGCTTCTTTTTTATTTCAAAAAGATCACTCTCTCAAAAGTTTGTTCTTATTTTTCTGTTGACGAGATTTATTTTAGTCAACTAGCCGTAGTTTCAAAATTATTTAATTAATAGACCAACTTCACTTCCACCATCGCCTATGAAAAATTTCTTGGATTATATTACTCGATACTTGAAAATGAAAGTAAAAATGTATAGAAAAGTCATTTTTTATTTGCAAAGAATTTTGCTGACTGCTGTATTTGCACTCAAAGATTTTATATGTGACGTAGTTATATAAAACTAAGTCTTGCATTTCGTATATTTTTTGAAACCTAAGCCTAACTGGTAACAAGCTCAATTAGTACCAATCTTGACTGGAGATTGGGGGGACTGGTACCAAGCCTAACTAGTAACAAGCCCAACTGGTACCAATCCTACCAATTCTCAGTCGGATTGGACTAGTGCATGCCTACTATACAGCATTTTTCCTCCACTATATGTTTTTCCTTCAAAAATTCTAACTTCTCTATTTTTCTTATCTTTAATTCTTTGGTTTTTTGTGCATGTTTTAGGATTATTTGCTAATAAATCGTCAGTATCCTTATTTATTAATCAAGATGATTTGAGAATTATATCTGATATTCTCATTTCATGTTTAGAAACGATTATCAGTGAGAATAAAACAACTACAGGTAATAAAATTAAGATAGAATACTAAATTCTAGGGATAGTAACCAATGGATTACCTAATGAATGAGAGAGTAAGGAGTTATTCGTCGAGAAATCTATAATCTGGAAGAAAGTAAGACTATAGTTTTTTCATGAATACAAGTAAAAAGCTTTTTACTTTGTTTTTCTGATGAATATTTGTATTCTATTTTTCGCGTCATAATTAAAATGAACTGCATTTGTTTGATTTTTTAGAATCGTTAGCGGATCAAAATCAAATATCATCAACCACAGCACGAGAAAATATCATAAATTTGCACGAAGAATTATCGTTACTATCTAGTGAAAACATCATCAATAGTATCACCAATTCTGAAAATTTAACAGGTATTAATAAGCATGCACAGGTTATAACCGACTTTTTTTGTAAAAACATTTTCTCAGCGAAAATTGATTCTCTAAACTTTTTCTAACAACTGGATATGAGAGCGTTCTTCGTCTTGATCCAGTAGTTATGAAAAAAAGATTTCGTAAAAATCCCATGCTCGATTATAACCGATTTAGGCCTCTTCGTCGAAAAGCAATTGCGGCAGATATAAAAAACATGAAGGGCTTCCGCCATTGCTCATCTTGTAAGAAAATGTTTGCTCTACAAAACTCAGTTGTTAGAAAAATTTTAAAATGCATACTTTTCATGCAGTCCGTTTCAGAACAGAAGGTGAAATTTATCGGTTATAACCGGTGCATGCCTAAATATTAACAAATTTGATAAGAAATTAAATTGAAGAAGTTTTATATTCTGTTGAATGTGAAATGCACTGAGATAGTTTTTTGCAGTTGGTCTTGATCCTAGTTAATAAGAATTCGTTCTAGAAGTACAGACTACATTATGTGATCGAACATCATTGCAAAATGGTAACAAATCTCGCCCAGAATCATTGCCAATTGAAACGTATATAGGTGAATTAGTAATTGAAAGATCGATTGAAGCGTATACGATTCTTTTTTATCTCGAATTTTATTAGAAGAAGTTCAATCAATGACGCATCAAGTTAAATCATTAAAATCAACATCCAGGACTTTAAATGACACTCAAAGTATGTGCGCAAAGTAGTAATTGTCTTAATGCTGAATAAAAGAATGTTTGTTAACGAAATTGGCAGTCTTTATATTCATTATTCCTTGTTATTCTGTTTAGGAATGGTTCCAGAATCGAGTAGCCAGCAACAGCCAGTATTACGCCCAAATGATTTATTACCACCTTTGTTGAATGAAGAAAGTACAGACAAAACGCATTCTTCTCTTTCCTCTGAATATGTATGTTTGACAATTAAACATTATGAGCCTTTTTACGCGATTATAATATGTGGATGTCTTGAACTGCCTGTCATATTCTGTGTTCTTTCAGTCGATACCATCTTACCATCGTTTTCATCGGCAAACAGTTCTGTTTCATGGTGTATCACTCACGAGTTATGATGTTAGTTTGAAATACGGAACTGGTCGAAATCAATCATTTTCTATTCAAGAACTGATCGATCAATTTTTTCCAGAGGAACAAAAAAATATTGGACGATTTTCTCGAATATGTAGAAATCTTGGAATTCAACGTTATCGACCCGATTTCGAATTGAAATCTCAATTAACCCCAGAAGAAGAACAGTTAAAATTAATTATCGCAAGTGATTTGGAACCACATTGGAACGAAATTAAACGAAGAATGATGCCGACAGGCACAGCAGGTAAGACGCAGAAGTAACATTTTACCGTTATAATGTGCGTGACTTTGACAAGTGACAAGTAATTTTTTTGGCGAAAAGTTTTAAGGGATGAAACCTCCCCCTAAACATACCCTCAAACTTGGCCACTTGGTAGAAAGCATCTTCAATCGTATCCCTGTGGAATACCACAAAATTTGGTCAAGTATTGACGGTATTATTAATTAATTAAGTTTAAATTCCAATTAAAATTTGAATTGCTAGTCCCCGTTTTGGAAAGCTTGTAGTTTGATAAAAAATAATCGTAGAAGCGTCGTTCTTGCATAGTTTGAGAGCCAAGAATCTATGGTTGTAGTTTCATTAAAAAAATTTTAGAATTAGTTTTTCAAGATATTAGATAATAATTAATAATTAATAATTAATGCTAATTAGCGGCACTCTGGTGCCTTACACGTTTATTCGTAAGTTACTGATTTCTTGGGGATCGTGAAGAAATATACCGTTTCATAGAGATTTTCAAGCACGACAAAACCCTGTACACGTCGTTGCACGTTTATGTAACAGACGAGTTTTTCAGAATTTGTTGAAAAACCGGTTTACCAGAGAATCTCTGGAAAATCCAGCCATAACTCTGAAACTCGTAGCATAAAGAAATTGATTTTTTTCATGAATAAATAGCTCAAAGTGTTGACCTATAGAACGGGTGTCAGACGAGACGTTGGATTTCAGTGGTTCACGTGTGGTATCGGATTTCTTTCGAGCTTCAGGACTGCTACTCGGTGACTTGCGGTGATTGAAATCGCATGAAACATACGCAGTCAGCCACACTGAATCTAGTGACAATGCTCGTTTTTGCAAAAGAATCCCAGAACAGAGGTTTATGCCGCGAGTATGTAACAAATGATGTGTTACTATTACTTAGAGGCAGCAACAGTGCACAGTTTTCTTTCGTGAGAGACGAATTAACCCTTCACTATAAAAATAACGATGTTTTGTTCTATATTAAGATGGTGATGATGATGATGTACTAGAAATTGGATATGTTCCACCACAAATTCTGTCAGCAATCCAGACAATGTCACCATTTTCAATTTCGAATATTCAAGATGAGTCACAGACATTTTCATCTTTGATTTCAATTTCACCTATGACTACTACTACTGAGCTGAGTCACATGGATTCGAATCATACAACAACAGAGAAAACTGAGAATAATGCAAAAGAACAAACATCACGACGACAGAACATTCCGTCACCAAAACTGAGATTAAAACGAAATCGAGTTGGTACATCATTATCTACTGATAATCCGATTCCAAATGCATCAGTATCAAACCAAAATAGAAATCAAACATTAGCTAAAAGGTAAAATTGTCCGCTTGTCAATTACATTGCTGACAAATTTTTGCATTTATTTTAGAAACAAAAACAGTATCAAGAAACAGCAACGTAAAAAGTCGTCAATAATAAC